GGAAATAGTGAAGACAACTGAACCAAAGTTCGTTTTCTTCTCGAGAGGCGGGCTACATGGTGTAGTATCAACTGGTATTAAAAATGGAAGGATTAGCTTGTCTTTTGATGACAGTAGAACACAGGACATTCAATGCATGTAGAACAACTTTGGAAAATTCTACTTGGGGACAGTTGTAATGTTAACTGGTCAGATTATTTATGATTAAAATACTTATAATACTTACCCTTGAGCATTTTGACAGCAACTGAACATGTTGAAGGCATGTCAGGCAGCCCCACAGCGTCAGCTCGCATGACCAAACCAAATGCACCTTCACCAAGTTGTTCTCTTAGTGTTATTTGAGATCTGTCAATTTCCCATTCCTCGTCACAAGGTAGCTCAAAAAGCTCTAGCTCTGTGATGAATAGAAATTATATTTAGGTAAACATTGTTACTAAATCCTTTTAATCATTTGACACTCATAAAGTTAGTCACGTTATAAGATTAATTCTGATTTGGAAACTTGCAGTTCATAAATTCCTTTAATGCGGCTCAAGGCTTGTTTTACCAAAGGTACCATGTCAGTAACACAGACTGCACGTTCAGCGCAGTTTGGTTTGATGTGACACAGAGTAGCACGTCCGGCTGTTTGGTAGACTAGGGGCACTTGGAGAGTAAGATTTTCTTTCAAGAAGAGAGGTTCATAATCTTTTACCTTCAGCAATGTTCGAGTCAATTCTCGATGATACTCCTGAAGAAAATCGTGACCTATAGCTTCCAGTTCTGTATCTTAATAAAGGTGTCGTAGAATTTGTAGATCCAGTAGAACTTAATCTTCCCCTTGGAAAAGTGAAAGTTCTATTATTTCCATCAGTTTGATTGGGCGTTTCAGGTTCTGATGGTATAAGGTTTGATGATGGTGGAATATTCTCCAGTTCAAATTGTCTAAATTCCTTTTGAGAATTTGAATCGCCTGCAAACTTCTCCTTTAGTCTTTTGCGAAAACAGAAAACAAACACAACTGCTATAATTGCAGAGAAAACAATTGACGCCAGAAGAATGATAGCAATTAGGCCAGCTTGACTTGACTTTATCTTTTCATTCTGGACTAGCTTGTTCTCAATAGGTGAAGCTGTTGCATTCTGTGAAGAGTCGTCTTGTTTAGTTATGGTGTTCCAATCTACTAAGAGCAGAAAAGGAGAACAATTTTTAAATTCCACTCGACATGGGTAGCCATCAATAACAAGGATAAAACGTGTGATTGTAGGGGCAACTTCTTTAACCTTTTATTTTTTTTACCAGGGATGGTCTTGCACATGGGTTTCGACTGACGTATCTAATGAATGGTATACACATGATGCCTCGTGATCACTGTTTACTAAAAACCAAACAATTACTCAACTCTAACATTATTTTCATGTCATGCAAGGAAAACCCTAGACAATGCCTGGTCCGTGTTATTGAAATAACCAATCTGCAAGGGAAATCTAATATGGCAAATCACACTGATAGGGGTAAAAAAAATTTTCCTGCATTCAACACTTCAAAGAAGCTTACATTATTTGTTAAGGGACATTAAAAGGGTTCAGGCATAAGAGATCCACGGAAGTATTGGTGACCTATTCCATTCACTGCAAAGTTGGCAATATACCGGAACTAAAATGTTGATTTCAGCTTATTAACTTGCAGAACAATCTACATAACTACTAACCTTTAACAGGAACCGTGGGTTTCACATATCTACTGAGGAAAGCACTGTTGTAATCTTTGCCTATATGATTGCTTACAAAGCACGTGTAGAGTCCAAAATCATCCTCGGTAACATTAGTTATTCTCAACTCAACGCCGTAATGGTCCTTGACTCGGATAGTCTTGTAATAATGTGGATCTATAAGGCGGTATGATCCGTTCTCAAAGTCGTCACCAATTTTCTTTATTGATAAGACGGATTTGTCCCATTTCAGCCATCTGAAAACTGGAAGTGTTCCACTAACGAGCACAATGCATGTCATCGTTGCATTATCTCCAATCTGCACGGTTGTGTTCCTTGGAAGGCTTGTCTGTAAGATGGGCCGCGATCGTGGCTTAGCTGTTGAGAAGATGATGGAAATGTATTTTTAATTTCAAGCAGTTACAATACCAAAAGTGTCTGTGGTGCATGGTGCGGAAACTCGGCAAATTAAGTCATGTTTTACTTTATAAACAAAATCGCCTTACTTTTCCATTGCAGTTTTTTTTTAGAAGTAGACGTGCATGACTACATTTTTGTTTTGCTAAACTCACCAACAACCTGAAGCGTGTAAGTGTGATTTATACTGCCATATGAATTGGACACTATGCAAGTGTATTTCCCCGAGTCGTAGGGTACTAGATTTGTCAGTTTTAGGTACCAAATGGAAGTGTTAAGATGTGGGTCTATCCTTCGCCTGAGCATTTTCGTTCCGTCCTTTAACCATGTGTATTTGAGAGGTGGCGCTCCAGTCGCTTGACACTTCAATCTGATCGAGTGTGATGCTGGCCATGCTCGAAATGCTCTTTTTAACATATTTGGATCAGAAAAGGTTGGTGCTCCTAAACAAAGGACACAGAAACAAAATAATTAAGACCGATAAGTATGATTTGTAGCTTGACTCTACTTCTACAATCTTGTAGACATGGCCAGTTGCACAGGTGGCGTAAAAGCTTAATTTTCGTTGTAATTCAAATTCATTGGAGTGCCAAAGGAAAACCGGTGGTTAATAGTTTGCAAGTATTTACTTTATTTATTAAGGAAAAGTCATTGATTAATGCGGGTTATGACCACTCTTCATGTGATATTGCCTGTTTTGAAAATGAAATGTAATAACCTTGTGGGAAAAGAAGAAATATGAGAAAGTTTTGATTGATTGTACAGATGATGAAATTAGAAGCGTTGGACGTCTAGTTTCCTGAGCAATCAGGAATTGCGAAAGTTGTCAATGGATTACGGAGAGTATACTCGTTTTGAACTGAACATCGGAAGAAAACCGATATTGCTTTGGTTTTTTATTTCTACACTGTGCAATGACATGCAAAACCAAAGAGGTTAATGGACTATAAACTTCAAGGTAATTTTTAATATAATTCTACATTATACATACCAAATTGGTGATCATACTCGCTTTTACTGTATAGTAGGATATATTGCAGAGATATTTTCAGTATCAGATTGATTTGAGTAATAATATTTATACCAACAAAACTTTAACGGGAGCGCTGCGTTTCCCATCTTTGCTAAGGAAAGCACTGCTGCATAATTGAGTACATTTTTGCTAAACTCACCAACAACCTGAAGCGTGTAAGTGTGATTTATACTGCCATATGGATTGGACACTATGCAAGTGTATTTCCCCGAGTCGTCGGGTACTAGATCTTTCAGTTTTAGGTACCAAATGGAAGTGTTAAGATATGGGTCCATCCTTCGGCTGGGCATTTTCATTCCGTCCTTACACACATATAAAGTGGGGGTTCTGGCACAGTGGGGAGCAAGAGGYCAAAAAACAGTCCGAAAAAGCCCCCCAGCTCCTTCTCCTCAGACTAAAGCTTCGGAGAAGGAGCTGGGGGGCTTTTTCGGACTGTTTTTTGCCCTCTTGCTCCCCACTGTGCGTCCAGAACCCCCACTTTATATGTGTGTGTGTGCTGTGCCAGAACTTAGTGTGTGTGCTGCGCCAGAACTGCGCGTGTGTGCTGTGCCAGAACTGAGGCATGAGAGCTGTGCCAGAACCGTGTGCTGTGCCACAACAGCAAAGCGAAAAAGCTGGTCCATAGTCCGTAAACAATATGCGCGGATGTGCCCTTCACTTGTATACACAAAACTGTGCCAGAAAATATTTCCTATTGGAGAAGCGCACGCTCAGTGCATACTGCGCCGACATGGCTGCCGCAAGATACTCGTCCGATGTTCTGCAAATGTTCTACCGGAAAGAAAGCTGCGGAAAGCGCTGTTACGGGGCGTACTGCGGCCAGCACAACTATCAGCTGAAAAAAGGAATGAAAGAGCCGGAGCCATGCAGAGGCTGCGGGATAGGTCTTCTATGCGACTACCGACTGTGCCGCCAGTGCGGCGGGGGCGCGCTAGCCCGTTTTCATTCGCCCAGTGCGCTGTAAACCATCCAAGCTTGAACGTTTTGCTAAATCCTTTGTCTTTGTATTCATTGTAACGCGCAAACCCTTCGTCCAGGCTTCTGACGAAATACTCTGCAAAAGGGAGCAGGTTTTCTTCTTGCTTGAGTTCGTCGCGAAGCTGTTCGTAAGACTCAAGACTTGGATGCCACCTGTGGCGTTTATCTACCGTGCCTTTCACACCTTTTAAAAGAAACCCGTTCAAGAATTTCGGGTATTCAGGGTCGTCTTCTCTTTCAATCCCTTCAAACGCGTCTTGAATGTCGTCTTTGATTTTTCTTGCAACCCGTTCCCAGTTTGTGGTTTCTTTCATCGCCTCTCTCAGCTGGCGCCACTTGTTGAGTTCTGTTCTGTCTTCTTCGTCGTTTTCACAAAGAGCCCCGATTTCTTCTCTCATTACGTCTGCGAAGAAACACGTCATTTTTCTGATCTTTTTTATCTCATCACCGTCGGTTTGCGGGTTGTTTCTCCTTTCAACCTGCAACTTGTAGAGCTCTTGAAACGATGATGGAACTTGCTTGTAACTCGCCATGAGTTGACTTAAACCCCCCCTATTCAAATGCCTCGACCCACCAGTTAGAGAAATCTAACCGGGGTTATATCGCAAGGAGCCATGTCTTACTGCGGGCTTTCCGAGGCCATTCAAAACCTCCCTCCAGAGCTTCGTGAGATGATTCTCAAGGAGTACATAGCGATAAAAATAAAGGAAAAAAAGGAAATGGGCTGGGAAGAGGTACATGATGAGATTGAAGAGTCACCCATCTGCGAAAAACGATCAAGAATTGTAAAGGTCATGTTTTGTCGTAAATGCAACACTTGCGGCCTTGACGGAGAGTGTTACGAGTGTCATAAAAACGGAGAAAAACATTATCTTGGCTACCCCGTGTATGACGAGAACGACTACGGCGAAATCTTTCAGAAATTTTACTGAGCGGCGACGCTATTTACAACCGGTGGAATTACATTTAAAAATCCACGGCTTCATTTGCATACCATAAAAACATGCTTGTCAGTGTTCACATGATTGCGTTTCTCGTAAATGAATATTTCACGCCTGAGTGGCAGAGACAAGTGCGTGATATTACACGCGAAGTTGTTGAATGCTTTCATGACGCGGTTCCGGTTGAGGCGACACAGCTTCCCGTTGCGAATTCCTGAAGGCTTCAGTTTAAGCGCGTTGCATTCCTCTTGGCTTCAGTTGAAGCGATCAGGAATTTTCAAAGCCACCAGGAATGTTGAAGTCAAAAGGAATTTTACAGGCTGATTTCTATTTTTTTGTCCACAGTTTGTTAGAATAGGGTATTTCTTCTCGGCCTGGCCAATAAAAAGGGCACTTTTCACCTTTTTTCGAGGAAAAATTGGGCACNAACCTCCCTCCAGAGCTTCGTGAGATGATTCTCAAGGAGTACATAGCGATAAAAATAAAGGAAAAAAAGGAAATGGGCTGGGCCGAGGTACATGATGAGATTGAAGAGTCACCCATCTGCGAAAAACGATCAAGAATTGTAAAGGTCATGTTTTGCCGTAAACGCAACACTTGCGGCCTTGACGGATAGTGTTACGAGTGTTATAAAAACGGAGAAAAACATTATCTTGGCTACCCCGTGTATGACGAGAACGGCTACGCCGAAATCTTTCAGAAATTTTACTGAGCTGCGACGCCATTACAACCGGTCGAATTGTATTTAAAAATCAACGGCTTCATTTGCATACCATAAAAACATGCTTGTCAGTGTTCACTTGATTGCGTTTCTCGTGAATGAATATTTCACGCCTGAGTGGCAGAGACAAGTGCGTGACATTACACGCGAAGTTATTGAATGCTTTCATGACGCGGTTCCGGTTGAGGCGACACAGCTTCCCGTTGCGAATTCCTGAAGGCTTCAGTTTAAGCTCGTTGCATTCCTCTTGGCTTNCCCCGATTTCTTCTCTCATTACGTCTGCGAAGAAACACGTCATTTTTCTGATCTTTTTTATCTCATCACCGTCGGTTTGCGGGTTGTTTTCCCTTTCAACCTGCAACTCGTAGAGCTCTTGATACGATGCCGGAACTTGCTTGTAACTCGCCATAAGTTCACTTAACTCCCCTCTGTTCAAATGCCTCGACCCCACCACCCCAGCCGCACCGTCGACATGAACCGCAGCCGCTCTTCCAACGTTGCGAACCCCACCTTCACTTCAACCCGCAGGGGCGCGCTAAAAAGCGGCTTTACCGCAAACAAGAAAAAGCGAAAAAAGCTTTTCAGCTTGTTTTGCTCGAGCTGCAAGAAATAAAACACCGGTTAGAGAAATGTAACCTTCGGTTATAACGCAAGGCACATGTCTTCCTATGGACTTTCCGAGGCCATTCAAAACCTCCCTCCAGAGCTTCGTGAGATGATTCTCAAGGGGTACATAGCGATAAAAATAAAGGAAAAAAAAGAAATGGGCTGGGCCGAGGTACATGACGAGTTTAAAGAGACACCCATCTGCGAAAAACGATCAAGAATTGTAAAGGTCATGTTTTGCAGTAAATGCAACTCCTGTGGCCTGAACGGACTCTGTTACGAGTGTTATAAAAATGGAGTAAAACACTATCTTGGCTATCCCATGTATGACGAGAACGACTACGCCCAAATCTTTCAGAAATTTTACTGAGCGGCGCGATATAACCTCTGTTTGAATAATTACATTAAAAATACACGGCTGCATTTGCATACCAAAAAAACATGCTTGTAAGTGTTCACTTGATTGCGTTTCTCGTGAATGAATATTTCACGCCTGAGTGGCAGAGACAAGTGCGTGATATTACACGCGAAGTTGTTGAATGCTTTCATGACGCGGTTCCGGTTGAGGCGACACAGCTTCCCGTTGCGAATTCCTGAAGGTTTCAGTTTAAGCCCGTTGCATTCCTCTTGGCTTCAGTTGAAGCGATCAGGAATTTTCAAAGCCACCAGGAATGTTGAAGTCAAAAGAAATTTTACAGGCGGATTTCAATTTTTTGCCCACAGTTTGAAAGAAAAGGGAATTTCTTCTCGGCCTGGCCAATAAAAAAGAAACAGCTGATCGGGGGGTTTTCCCTATTTCGCGCATGACTGCGTCAGTGAGTAACCTTCTCGAAAGATCAAGGCTATTTATATGGCATAACAAATAGCGCAATCAACTGTTTTTGACAAGACAAAGAGAGAGTTTTGTGTTTTTTCGCTCGAAATTCAGTTCGAAGCGGGAGGTTTCATGATTTTTTTTATCATTTCCGCTTCAAGTCTGCCGCGGATGTCTTTCTCAAGTTTTTGGACATCAACATCAGGAAGCTTTCTCGTTGATGGTTGGCGAAGCATCCTTGCCCAGACCTGATCTTTCAGAAAGTTATATTGCTGAAACTCCGAAAGGATAGTGTCGAACTCGTGGGCAGACACCCTGTTGTTGTTCAAAGCGTTCGAGAGAAGTCTGTTGATGGTGTCGCGCTTGGCAATGGCGAGCGTGGTGATCTCTTGATGCTTCTTGATCTTTGAGTCGAGCTTTTTCCCGGCGAGAATCAACGCACACGAAACGAGAGCGAAGCACCCACCAGCGCCGCCAAGAGGAACGGCAGCCGGCAAGCCAACAACAGACAGAGCGGAGCCAAAACTCGTGCTGGAAAATGCTGCCGAGAGAACGCTGGAGCCGGCGGCACCCCAATTAACGAACTTTCTCGCACGTTTGTATTTTTTNTTTCCAGGAAAAATTGGGCACGAAACGCGGTACAACAAAGAGACTTGACTAGAGCGATAAAAAGAAACAGCTGATCGGGGGGTTTTCCCTATTTCGTGCATGATTGCGTCCGGGAGTAACCTTCTCGAAAGTTCAAGGCTATTTACGTGGCATGCCAAATAGCACAATCAACTGTTTTTGACAAGACAAAGAGAGAGTTTTGTGCTTTTTCCCTCAAAATTTAGTTCAAAGCGGGAGGTTTCGTGATTTTTTTTATCATTTCCACTTCAAGTCTGCCGCGGATGTCTTTCTCAAGTTTTTGGACATCAACATCAGGAAGCTTTCTCGTTGATGGTTGGCGAAGCATCCTTGCCCGGACCTGATCTTTCAGAAAATTATATTGCTGAAACTCCGAAAGGATAGTGTCGAACTCGTGGGAAGACACCTCGTTGTTGTTCAAAGCGTTCGAGAGAAGTCTGTTGATGGTGTCGCACTTGGCAATGGCGAGCGTGGTGATCTCTTGATGCTTCTTGATCTTCGAGTCGAGCTTTTTGCCGGAGAGAATCATCGCAGACGAAACGAGAGCGAAGCACCCACCAGCGCCGCCAAGAGGAACGGCAACCGGCAAGCCAACCACAGACAGAGCAGAGCCAAAACTCGCGCTGGAAAACGCTGCCGAGAGAACGCTGGAGCCGGCGGCGCCCCAATTAACGAACTTTCTCGCGCGTTTGTATTTTTTCGCGATGAGGCGATAGTGGTCGACCTCGGGGGCCAATGTGTTGGAAATCTTGTTGACCTTCTGCAAGCGGAAATTTTGTGAAGGCTCTGCCGCCACCACCGGATATAGTGGCTCGGCAGGCGGCGGGCTTGGTGGCAACAGATTTGCCGAAGAAAGCTTGCTCCTGGGAGCGGTTCTTCAAAATAGATGGTCTCGCCGTTCTGTTGCGTGACAAGAGTGATAACAACCATTTTTATATTCAACAAATAAATTATGTTCAAAATACATGACGAATGTGTGGAAAGGTCCTGCGTTAAAAAAAGCGGAGGCGGCGAAGAAAAAGGCGTGGACAAGCTTTTTAAACCGCTTCCCCAAAGCCGACAAAAGCCGGTTCATTTCACAAGCAACGGTTGACGAGAAAAACAACGTGACCGCGGAGGTATTTTTCAAACAAAGCGAAGACTCGTTTCAAAGCGTCTTCGGCTCAGAAAGGAAATACTGGAGCGCCGAAATGAAAGAAGCTCTTGGTTTGGGAGACAGCGGAGGTTTTCCTTATCAACTGGCGCCGCTTGGTTCAAAAGTTTCCTTGCCCATCCCTGCCGTACCTTTCGACGGCAAAGCGCAAAGTTTGAAAAAAATATTCGACGCCCCAATCCAAATCTACGTCACGCCTGACCAACATTTCACAACGAAATTCAGACAAATATTTCAAGACACCAAACTCAGGCACACGTGGGCAGTCGAATCAAAACGCTGGCTGGGAGGGCCTGACATGAAATATTGGCCACAGCAGCTGAACTTCGCGGTTTTCTGCGCGACCCAGGGGTGCGGAGTTTCTCGCGAAATCTTTGAGAGCGGGATGGATCTCCCCCCTCAGATAAGAGCTTTCTACAAATTCCACGTATATTTCACTGTCAGGCGGATTTTGTACCAGCTTGGAGGAATTCAGAGCATAAGCGCTTTGCCCGGAGACCCGCCGTTCAACCAATACAACAATCATTACGACGTCGCCTCGTACAAAAGGATATGCAGAGAGTTCGGTATTGCCCCCTCGAGCGATTTCCGCTTCACGCACGGAGAAAACCACGGTCTGGGAAGCATTTACGTGTACGCGACCGGCGCGGGCCCGTCGAAAACCGACTATAAATACCCGGGATGGAACAATTTCAGCGATGAAGGCGGCAAAGCAATAAATGGGGAGTTGATCGATTTCATCGAGCCGGGGGCCGCTTCTGATCCTCAAGCAGACTGGTTCGCGCCCAACACCGCGAAAGGTTTGACGCAGGCGGGCTTGTCGAGAATCAACCAGTCAATCGAGGCTTTCGTTTACTGCGTCCTGGGCGCGCAAGTCAACGTCCGCAGCAGCATTCTAGGCTCTGGCGGTCGGGCGAGAGAAGCCCAGAGCGAGTTCCTGGTGCTGATGGAAGACGCGATCATACAGCCCGACTTGGCCACGAGCGTGCAAAGGTACCAGCACGCGGTGGACGAAGCGAAGCTAAGGCTCAATCTCGCTGTTGCCCCCATGGCGTGGCTCATGCCCGCGCAGATGATAATCAACACCGAAAGCACGATCGGTTACAACAACAAGCTGAAACAGGCGGTCTCAGGAATGAAACTGGGGGTGAATAACGAGGTAAACCGGGAGACAAAAAAAGCTGGGCTCAAACACATGGCAGGCGGCCCGTCAAAAATTAACCCGCCCAATAGCCACCTGTCTAACTCGATTCACAAAGCCGCAACAGCCGAATCGGGGCGTGTGGTTCCACCCCACAGGAAACCAGCTTCGACCGAAACTCAGCAAGCGCAGCCCGATGTTACAGACAAAACGCCGCAACACGAAATTAACAAAACGGCGGTAATTGTCGGTGTTGTTGGATTTTCGGCGTTGCTGTTCATGGCTTGGCGCTAAGCACGCGGCTTCTTAAAATATTTTTCGAACAAAAAGGCCACCGCTTTTTTCGTGCTGCATTGTCTGCATCGGAATTTCTTGTTCTTTTACATATGGCGTTGACGACTTTCTTGGGATAAAAGAAGTCGTTTCGTTGGCATCTCTGCCTTCATCATCGTCATCGTCACCCAAACCGTATGGGTCATAACCAGGGTTTTCAAAGCTTGTTCCTTCGCGTTCCCCCATAGCAATATATTAAGCCTATTATTTTTCAAATTAGAAATAATCGCCGGCGCATTTATACGATGTCAGTTCCAGAGAACCTTCGCGCAACGCACAGCGAAAAGACCGTACACGCCATGAAGGCCGAGCGCGCAGTCAATCGAATCACCTTTACCCCCTCT